TTTTTTTTATTATTTCTTTGTTTGTTAATCTTTTTTGGCACCTTTTTATGATACAAATCCCCCAACGTGCAAAATGGAGGAAAACAGATCCCCGACTCAGACATATAAAATACGCTGTATTTAGAAAGTGAAGAATTACATATTATTATATTGATTTGTGGCTTTGGGGTCTGAGCATATCCACCCTCTCATAAATTTTGTCAGGTCACTTTAGGAGAATCCCAAATTCTATTTTTCTTTTCTTTTCTCTGTGCTATTGACAGACTCGTTTTTTTTAAATGTCCACAAAGTACTCAAGTTAATAATAATAATGATAAAGTTGGAAGGGACCTTGGAGGTCATCTAGTCCAACCCCCTGCTCAGGCAGGAAACCCTGTACCATTTCGGACAAATGGCTGTCCAGTTTCTTCTTAAAAACTTCCAGTGTCGGCACATTCACCGCTTCTGGAGGCAGGTTGTTCCACTGGTTAATTGTTCTCACTGTCAGGAAGTTTCTCCTTAGTTCTAGGTTGCTTCTCTCCTTGATTAGTTTCCATCCGTTGCTTCTTGTCCTGCCTTCAGGTGCCTTGGAGAACAGCTTGACTCCCTCTTCTTTGGGGCAGCCCCTGAGATATTGGAACACTGCTATCATGTCCCCCCTCATCCTTCTCTTCGTTAAACTAGACATACCCAATTCCAGCAACCGTTCCTTATATGTTTTAGCCTCCAGTCCCTTAATCATCTTTGTTGCTCTTCTCTGTACTCTTTCCAGAGTCTCAACCTCTTTTTTACATTGTGGTGACCTATCAAGGATTGCATTTCTCCCACCCCTTGTTCGTATCGCAGTCGTGCGTCATTTCCAAATACGTCGACAAGCACGGATTTGCTTTCTTCCTGGGTAAAAGTGAGGTTCTTAAATCTTATCAAAACCTGATGTCTGTAGTTGTTGTTCTTTTTAAAAATGTGATGATTTAATATCATGGGAAATAGATAACTTTTAGGAAATAGAACAAGATTATATTTAAATAGATAAAATGTGTATTTTGGATATTATAGTTTGTGATGAAGTGAGATAAGGGAAATTTTGGTTACCCAAAGTCTGAAAATTATAAATATCAAAGGTTAAATGGGAATATTGATAAGAAATTAAAAAATGAGCAAAAACCAATTAACAGGATGTGGATTGTTTATGAAGATTGAATGTAATTAAGATATGTATAAGCTAAAAATTTATTGATAAATTTAATAATGATGTTCTTATTAAGTTGATATAATTAGAAATGTACTAACCTGAATATGAGACAGTAAATGTTATGGGAAAAAGAGAAGAAATATTTGATGTTGTAGCCTGAGATTTGCACTAAGATTTTGCTATTGAACTATTGTAACCCAGTCACCACGTTGTTTTTTAAATATTCAAATGGAAAATTGGAAAACTAATAAAATATTATTTTTAAAAAAGTGATTTGTATCTAGGCGCCACTGGGTTTTTGGTAGCGGCATGCAAAATGGTCCAAATTTAAAACCCTTAAGAGTTTTTTTTTAAAAAAAGTTCCTCTTTGAGATCAAATCGCAGTTCTAATCCCGCTAAAGGCTTTCTGATGATGCTCCAATAGTTTCAGAAGTATTCTGGGCTTAAAAGTCCCATATTTAGAGTTGGGTACACTTCTGCATGTGCTTCTTTGGGGGCATTTCTAGGCAGATCTAAACACACCCCCTGGGCCTTCGATCCAACTTACCAGCTTAATATCCTTTTTGGCTTTGCTGGCGTCTTCTTTGACACCGTCGTAAGTCAAGGTTTTGTCTCTTGCGCACCACAGGCTGAGATTATGCAATACCTGTCAACAAAAAAGAAAGCACAAAGGTTTAAGCTTGCTCACAATGCCTTGAGGAGTAAGGAAAAAAAAAACACATTACAATTTTCCGATAAACAAATGCTGCAGATCGATATTTCCCACCGGTCATCTCATGGTATAAAATAATTCCTTTTTTTTTTTTACCAACCCCCCCCCCCCATTTCCGTATCAATGGTTCCGGGCTTCCAGTTGCATCAAATTCTTCCCCCTGAAACTATAAACGGAATTATATATGCAGGTCTTGGCGTATTCGGGTCTTTTCCCGTGTAAGATTGAGAGTATCTTGGCGACGTTTCGACGAGGTCCCACTCGTCTTCTTCAGGCTGGAGTCTTCGGCTTCGTGCTTGTGCGAGCGAAGTGTGATCGGAGCTGCCGTCTCTCTATAAATATTGGTGGGGGGTGTGTGGAGTGCTGGCTTAGTTGCTGTAGGTAGATTGGTTGGCTGTGTGGGAGCTATTGTTTGCGGATTGTTCAGCTGTTTCGTAACATCCTGAGTAGTTGAGGATATCACTACACTAGATCTCAGGATGTAATCACACAACCCATTACCCAGGTCGTTATAACACAAAAGACTAATGGGCACACAGCCAGCACCTCAACTACTCAGGATGTTACGAAACAGCTGAACAATCCGCAAACAATAGCTCCCACACAGCCAACCAATCCACCTACAGCAACTAAGCCAGCACTCCACACACACACACCAATATTTATAGAGAGACGGCAGCTCCGATCACACTTTGCTCGCACAAGCACGAAGCCGAAGACCCCAGCCTGAAGATGACGAGTGGGACCTCGTCGAAACGTCGCCAAGATACTCTCAATTTTACACGGGAAAAGACCCGAATACGCCAAGACCTGCATACCTGTACCCATGAAAATCTACGAAAACACACACACACACACACACATCAGATATCAGTCTTCAGAGGCAACTCACTTGTCTGATGTCCTGATTAGCTGCCAGAATGAGTTCGTTCATTGCCGGCGGTGGAATCTTTAATCCTTCTTTGAAAGCGATGGACATCATAGCGCCCTGCAAAAAGTCATTTGTTTTGCGTGAGCCAATACCGAAAAATTGTGGGTAAGTACAGGACTTAAAAGTAGCATCTTCATTTACAGGGTTGGAAATGAGTACAATGGGCAATGCTAGCTCAGTGTCAATAAGTCTCTTCTTTTTAACCTCAAAAGATCTGCGTGCATCTATGTAGAAGTATAAATGTACACAAAACTGTCTAAATCTCCTACTGTTTAAGGGTGTACAGTAGTGGCCAAAATTGTGGAAACCTTTTGGGAAAAGTGCACAGTAGAAATACCACCTTTGGTTAAGTTTCCATCCATTTTTTCTTCTAATTTCTTTATAATTATAGCCTTGTTCACTTAATAATACTATTTTACATCGCTTTCTGGGTGACCAGTCAACTCTTTGCACCATGGCTTTAATTTTATTACGTTTGACATGTTCATTAAATGAAAGAACACAAAAAAACCCAACCAACTTGATAGCGATCACATAACACACTGACAAAAGTCCTCTTGGCTTCAATACATGAGATCAATAACCGAGTCCTGCTGTGATCTGATTGGCTCATTGCCAATACAAGATGACACCTGATTGGCTCTCTAAACACTCCTGCTCATTGGCTACAATCGGATGAAGGAAAGCTACCTGAGATCAACCTAAGCAAGTTGTGCTTCCTTTTTCTGGTTATTTGGCTATAACTTTTCATAGAATACAGTATAGATAATTGAACAAACAATGTTGCATTACATTCTTGATTAAATTATCTTTCCATTGATATATAATTTTATGGTACTACTCCTGCCCAAAAAAGTGGTGTTATTAGCCATCAAATCTCAAAAATACACTTTTCCCAAAAGGTTTCCACAATTTTGGCCACTACTGTATACGTCATTCAGTGAAAAGTTGCAAAACTTTTTTTGCAGGTTTCTGTTCCTGTCCCAGCAACTAACTTTCCATTACAGGTAGTTCTTGAGTTAACAACAGTTCATTTAGTGATCATTCACTAGAAGTTACAACGGCACTGAAAAAAGTGACTTATGACCATTTTTCATACTTATGACCGTTGTAGCGTTCCCACAATCACAATGATCAAAATTCAGAGTTGACAACTGGCTAATATTTATGACGGGGTCACGTTGACAGGCAAAGTCCATGGGGAAGCCAGATTCACTGAACAAATTGTGTTACTAATTTAACAACTGCAGTGATTCACTTAACAGCTGTGGCAAGAAAGGTTGCAAAATGGAGCAAAATTCACCTCACCGCCGTCTCGCTTAGCCACAGAAATTTTGAGCTCAGCTGTGGGTCGTAAAATTGAGGACTACCTGTATCCTTATTCTTATTCCTTCTTCTTGATTGGACCAAAGCCAAGTTGCAGTTAAGAACTTCACTTCAGATTGCGCCTACAGAAAAATAGCCCGCCGGGGAACTAATCCAAAAGGTTGCAACTCCGTTAGCGCAAGTGACAATTTCTTCAAGCTTTACTAAAGGATTTATAAACCACCTTTTATATTAATCTTCGGTTCGTATCTTCAGAAGATTGAGCACGCTAACCTGTTCCCCCTTAAAAGCGGACACTGTGAATTAAGAAGACTCCTGCGAGTCCCCTGGACTCTACGGCGATCCAACCGGTCAGTCCTGGAGGAGATCAACCCCTACTGCTCTTTAGAAGGCCAGATCCTGAAGTTGAAACTCAAGTACTTTGGCCACCTAATGAGAAGGAAGGACTCACTGGAGAAGGGCCTGATGCTGGGAAAGATGGAGGGCAAGAGAAGAAGGGGACAACGGAGAATGAGGTGGCTGGATGGAGTCCCTGAAGCAGGAGGTGTGAGCTTCAATGGACTTCAGAAGATGGCAGAGGACAGGAAGGCCTGGAGGAACGTGGTCCATGGGGTCGCGATGGGTCGGACGCGACTTTGCAACTAACAGCAACAACAAATTACTCAAATTAATTGGAAATAAAATATATATTTTAAGGGTGACAGACAAGCCCAAGTTACAAGGAGAACGCTCTACGACGTAGGTCCCCACCAACAAACCTAGAGGGGAAAGTAGCCAAGCTCATGAATGAGTTTTCTTCCAGTGGTCATTAGCTTCCACCGCTCAACGAATCACCAACTGTTGTCTCTAAAAGTCATCTCCAAGAAAACAGAAGAGACCAAAACAGGCCTCCTGAAGTCATTCTTTACCTTGATCTGCTCTACCCTCGGCCTCGGGAAACGAAGGTCAAAACAGTAGTGGGCCAAAGAGCGGATCTTGGGATGGTTCCGATCGTTACACATGCAAATTATTGGAACTTTTGTGTGCTTAATCAGATCAATTAGCTCCTACGGAGAGAAAAAAAAGGGGGGGGATATGTCGTGAACTACTCAACAGATTAGTTCGTATTTAACAAGATCTAGCAGGTCAAAAGGCTGTCAAACAATTTAAGTTTCCCAGACATTTTAAACAGGTAAGTGAAAGCAAGTTTGACCTTTATTGTTAAGTTGCTCTTTAAGAGCAGCTGGCCAAATGGAAGGCATATTATAAATAAATGTAAAGTTATTGCTTTATTTCTGTTTTAATTGGGACACGCTGCCACAGCACAGGAAGCGTTGCGCAAGTACATTTTAATAAGAACATGTTATTAAGTTCTACAAATTCACAACAGGAGCCAATCTTGAGGGCATCTGGATGTTGGTCCAAAACCAGATTAATACCAACCAGAGAAAAAAAGGAACTCTTAATCTAGTCTGACCCATCTCGTGGCTCACCGGTTGTGTGAACTGAGTGCATCGGTCAGCTCAGAAGCCACCTGTGAAATAGTTCAGACCAGAGGTCTTCAAACTTGGCCCTTTGATGACCTGTGGACTTCAACTCCCAGAATTCCTCAGCCAGGCACGCGTGCCTGGCTGAGGAATTCTGGGAGTTAAAGTCCACAAGTCATAAAAGGGCCAAGTTTGAAGACCCCTGGCTTATATGGTCCATGCTGGCTGGGGAATTCTGGGAGTTGAAGTCCACAAGTCATCAAAGGGCCAAGTCTGAAGACCCCTGGCTTATATGGTCCATGCTGGCTGGGGAATTCTGGGAGTTGAAGTCCACAAGTCATCAAAGGGCCAAGTCTGAAGACCCCTGGCTTATATGGTCCATGCTGGCTGGGGAATTCTGGGAGTTAAAGTCCACAAGTCATCAAAGGGCCAAGTCTGAAGACCCCTGGTTCAGCCCAATTCTAGGACTATAAGGTAGTATTTCATATCATATTCCCCTAACCCAAGGGTTTCCAACCTTGACAGCGTTAAGACCTGTGGACCTCAACTCCCAGAATACCCCAGCCGGCCGTGCTGCCCGTGGAATTCTGGGAGTTGAAGTTCACAGGTCTTAAAAAGTTGGCACGGTTGGACACCTCCTGCTCTAACCCTATCCCTTGAATTTGAAACATGCCTTTTCTTACCTGCTGGATTTATCTCCTTTACGTTTTTCAGTTCTCAATGCTTCTTTGAGCTCAGTTAAGATCTGGTCCAAGAATGCTTCCAAATCCCTTCCTTTCCCCAATCCCAAACAGCCCTTATAAACATTCCTTTCCACGCCAGGGTTCACGTGTTCCTTACCTGTATCCCACCTCTGTCCTCGTTGCCAGCCATCCCATCGACCTCGTCCATTATGAGGACGTGTTTTGCACTGACGGAGCGTGACGTCCCTAAGGAGGCAGGGGAAACCGAAAGAAATTACCGCGGAAAATCGGATTACCGAGGATGCAGTGGTGGAACTGCTGCTGTTTTAGTGCTGAATTATAATACACAAGAGTTGAACAAGCAGTTGTGTTAATGAGGAGCTGCTTATGGCCTTATGTGCTGGGCTGTTTAATCATGACTAGGGACCACCAGCCCCCCATTTAGATTTTCCAACTAACCCAGTGGTTCTCAACCTTTTTAATGCCGCGACCCCAACCGGTCGTACATCGAGGACTAAACCGGTCGTAAGTCGAGGACTAAACCGGTCGTAAGTCGAGGACTACCCAGCCGGTCGTAAGTCGAGGACTTTCCCTGCCCGGGAGCGCCGCGCATGCGTGGTTCCGCCCCCTGCGCCGACCAAGGCATAGCTGGCAAGTGGCAGAGACGGAGCAGGCCGACCACCAGCTGGCCCAGCCCAAGGGAGGTAAGGCACCCGCCGGAAAAGGGAAAAATGGCGGTCAAAAAAATGGCGGACAACCTTGCTTGGCGACCCCCGTGAAATGGTCGATCGACCCCAAATGGGGTCCCGACCCACAGGTTGAGAACCACTGAACTAACCAAAAACAAAATCCTGCAGTAGATAAGACGAATAAGATACCTGAGCAGAATCCTTTGATGCTGGTGTTATTCAGAGATTCAGCCACCACCTCCTTCAGGCTGTTCTTGCTGCGCGTGTCACTCGCATTCAGCTCCACGTAGCTCAAACCGAGTTCCTAATTTCGGTAAACAATGGAAACAACGGCAGCGGGTGAGGCCACCAATCGCATCTTCGGCACACTGGTTAATTTTCACAGGCAGACCGAATCTGATCCATCCCTTGACACGTTATTTGTTTCAGAGTAGCAACGGAAAAACTAGATATTACTAAGCACATTACTAAGAATAATTGTGTCAACGGAGGCTGAAACGCTCAAGGTCTGCATCTCGGTTTCGTGATCGCAACAAATAGATCCCGTGAAGTGTTAATACCACTTTACAAAGCCTTGGTAAGGCCACACTTGGAATCCTGCATCCAGTTTTGGTCACCACGATGTAAAAAAGATGCTGAGACTCTGGAAAGAGTGCAGAGAAGAGAAACAAAGATGATTAGGGGACTGGAGGCTAAAACATACAAGGAACGGTTGCTGGAATTGGGTGTGTCTAGTTTAATGAAGAGAAGGACGAGGGGGGACATGATAGCAGTGCTCCAATATCTCAGGGGCTGCCCCACAGAAGAGGGAGTCAAGCTTCTGGAGGCAGGTTGTTCCACTGGTTAATTGTTCTAACTGTCAGAAAATTTCTCCTTAGTTCCAGGTTGCTTCTCTCCTTGGTTAGTTTCCATCCGTTGCTTCTTGTCCTGCCTTCAGGCGCTTTGGAGAATAGCTTGACTCCTTCTTCTTTGGGGCAGCTCCTGAGATACTGGAACACTGCTATCCTGTCCCCCCTCGTCCTTCTCTTCATTAAACTAGAGTTACCCAATTCCAGCAACCGTTCCTTGTATGTTTTAGCCTCCAGTCCCCTAATCATCTTTGTTGCTCTTCTCTGTACTCTTTCTAGAGTCTCGACATCTTTTTTACATCGTGGTGACCAAAACTGGATGCAGTATTCCAAGTGTGGCCTTACCAAGGCCTTGTAAAGTGGTATTAACACTTCACGTGTTCTTGATTCTATCCCTCTGTTAATGCAGCCCAGCACTGTGTTGGCCTTTTTGGCAGCTGCAGCACACGGCTGGCTCCTATTTAGGTGATTGTCCACTAGGACTCGGAGGTCCCTCTCACAGTTACTACCTTTTCTCGAAGGTAGCTAAATGTTTCTGCAACTATTTGGTCTCCCCCACCCCCCAAAAAATATTTCGTGCAGATCAGATTTTCCACCTCTTGCCCTCGCAAGCAACCCTGCCTCTGTGAAAACACAACTCACCTCACAAGCTAACGATGCCGTTGTGGTTTTGCCTACTCCCGGAGGCCCGGAGAGCAAAGCTGCTTTGGAATGAGCGCCATCATCTTTGCTTCCAAACTTACCGGATTTGACTATGGGAAAAAAGAATGGAGGGGATTGTTAAGCCAGCTGTGGGACATAGCCAGAACGACAGGCGCAACCCAGCGTCTCGATTCAATAAAATAACTCCGATTAGACCAGCCTAAAGAACGATTTTCACAGCCTCGGGAACACACGCCATTATTCCAAGCTCTCTTGAGATCCATCATCCGCTTGATAAAAGACAGCGAGGACGCTTGGCAGGGGTGGCCAGACACCCACTTGAGAAAATGCTATATACTTGTGAAGAAAATCCCTCTTTTGCTTTCCTTTTACAAGTTGCCACCAGGCCGAAACAAAAGAGGAACAGGCCTGGTGTTTTTAAGGATTTTTGGGCAAACCTGGAAGCAGCGATTCAAACTTCGGATGCTTCTTCTACTGGTATTTTAACCCTGGAATTAAACATTAATGTCTTAGAATTTATCTGTTCTTTCACAACACTAATCTAGTCTATATTCTGTTGATATCATGCCATTGTCATGTGTCTGATTAACGAAACACTTAAAAGGACTTTCAGGCATATTTTTATCCTAAAAGCATTTATTAAGGTTACAGAGATGTCAGTACAGCATGGTGGAAATGCTTAGATCTGAGATTCTTTTCCATTGCACAGACATTCCAGGCATTTTTCCCTCCCCTATTTTGGGGTCATGGTTCACATCTTCCAATTAACTTGGAAGATGTGATTCACTTCCGGTTTCTTTTTCCTGGGCTTTCCTTATTCTCCTCCCCTTTCACTGTTGCCTGATTTAACTATAAAAATACCAGACAGTTCTGCATATTGTCAAAGCAAGAATATACAGTATTTGCAGCGTTGACAGCCATTTTAAATTTGTGGAGCATCTAGTAGGTTAAATGCCTTCCACGTAAAAGGTCTGCATAAACAAAGCCAGCATCTTAAGAGATAAAAATTATCCATGTTTTATTTTAACTGGGGAAGAATTCGTTCTTATTTCCCGGAAGCCTAATTCATTTTCCTTTAATTTAGCGCTTGAAGGGGAAAAAAAAAGGATTTAACTACATTTACAGTCGAATGTCAATTGGTAATCCCAGTTTTATAAGCTGCGTCCCCCCATCCTGGGGGGATGATGGTTCAGGTAGTCCAACCTGGCCTACCCCCTATTACAGTGAATCAAGAGACCGGTGGTCCTTGACTTACAACCACAATTAAGAGCCCAAAATTTCCGTGGTTAAGCGAGACATTGGCTAAGTGAGTTTTGCCCCCATTTTACAACTTTTCTTGCCACAATTGTTGTTAAATTAGTCACACAATTGTTAAGTGAGTCGGGCTTCCCCCCGTGGACTTTGCTTGTCAGAAAGTCACAAAAAGGGAATCCCGTTGACACACACACACACACACGGGGACACTGCAACCGTCATAAATGTGAGTCGGTTGCCAAGTGGCCGAATTCTGACGCGACCACCAAGTTGTCGCAACAGTCGTTAAGGGTGAAGAACAGTCTTCAGTCCCCCTTTTTTTTCCTGGGCCGTCGTAACTTTGGTCTCTAAACAAAACGTTTGTCAGCGCTGCTAACGTCGGATGTTCTTGCTTTGACGACGTATGGAGAGGCAGCCATTTTCCTTCTTATGTTTTACTCTTAGAATTAGAGTTGGAATTAGGTGATACTGGAGGGAGGAGGAGGAGGAATGTGTATGGGGGTTAGTTAGACATAACAATATTGTAATAGTGTGAGAACCAAGGTTTTTGAAATAGATGATAAGAAATGGCGGGTTGAACAACAGGAGGGGAAGCCTGCATTTCAAGCTAATTGGAGGATGTGATTTATGACTGTGAATTAGAGGAGGGAATTGTGCACTATGTGCTCAGGGGAGGGGAATTCAGATTTTGGCTTGGCCTATGTACGTGCCCATGCCATTATACTCGAATAAAGATTCTTTAAGGCAGTGGTGGCGAACCTATGGCACGGATGCCAGAGGCGGCACTCGGAGCCCTCTCTGCGGGCACACGTGTCGTTGCCCCAGCCTCACTTCCCCCTGCGACCCCCTCCTCTCCAGCAACCCCCCTGAAGGAGAGTCACCCCTGAGCGTGGCCCACGCGGAGCAGCGCAGCCAAGGACATGGCAGCCAGGCAGCGTAGACAAGACTCTGCCCTCACACCCCATCGTGCACAGTTGATGCTGCAGGGCGCGGGCAGAGGGTGTGGTCGCCATAGCGCTGCTGGGCTGCCCGGGCGATCTGCGGCGGGCTCTGGAGGCGGTGAGTGGTCCTGTGGGCAGGTGGGGTGGGGGACTAGGGGGGTGGAGTGGGGGACTGGGGGGTGGAGTGGGTGGGCAGGGCCAGTTTTTGGGCACTCGGTCTCTAAAAGGTTCGCCACCACTGCTTTAAGGTAAACAATGCCTCGTTGAAGTTCTTTGAAGAGTTTCCTCTGTCGGAACCGCGACACCGTTGTTAAGCCGAGGACTACTCAAAAAGAGATTGCCAAAAAAATAAATTAATAAATGCAATTACCCTGTTTGTCTTCCGAAGAATTCTTCTGCCAGTTTTTAAGCCAACGGAGGAGTTTGTGAGCGCAGCTCTGCTCGCCTTGCTGCCCAATGACGGTTTTGATAGATGTAGGCTTGTATTTGTCCACCCACAACAACACTTCGCCTCTGTTTTTCTTTGATTCGCGAACTGAGTTTTTTTCCTCGGCGGGAACTTTCTTCTCCTCCTCCAGGAGTTTCTGCTCAAAATCCAGCCCTCTCCTTACTGTCCCGGATTCCTGTTTGACGGATCTGAAAGAGTCCGTCTTTTCCGCCAGGGAGCTTTTCTTGCGGCAGTTGGAGTCCGGCTTTGCGGGGCTGACTTTCTTCTTTTCGGCTTTCGTTTCCGTTTTGTCGTCCCTGGACTTCGCTTTCTTGGCCTTCGGAAAAAGAAACGGGAAAGGGCTGCCCTGAGAACGAAGGCGATTCTTCGCAAACTGATGTGACGGGCAAAAACAAAACCCAAGACGTCATAAACCACGGAGTGCAACGGCTCAGAATTCCCGATGTAGTGGATTCCTCTCACCTTCTAGAGCAGGGGTCCCCAACCTGTGGGCCGTGGCTCGGTAGAGGGCCCTGGCCTGCTGGCCACTGGGCCGCAGGACAGGCTGGCCAGTGCGTGCACATTTGTGCGCACACCCCCTCATTTGCACTGTGGCCGCAGAGCGCAAAAGCAGGACACCCCCATGCCTGGGGGCGCAAAAACGGGATGCGGCCGCCGTGCCTCGGGGGCGTGAAAACGGGCCACTGCCACGGGGTGCAAAAATAGGGCACAAAAACAGGCCGCCGGCATGCTGCAAGGTGCAAAAACACATGCTGCTGCGCTGCGGGGCACAAAAACAGGCCGCCGCGCTGGAAGGTGCAAAAATGGCCGCTGCCATGCCGCAGGGTGTGGAAATAGGACGCTGCAGGGCGCAGAAATGAGGCGCTGCGCATGCAAGAATGGGGCAGGGTTTGTATCACGCGGATGCTAGCCCCACCCCATTTGTGGCGTGCACATGCTCGCGGCCCCGTGTGCACGTGCGTGCACACATGTGTAAAATGCTTCCCCCTCCCTTTTCTGCCCACTGGAAAAGGTTGGTGACCTCTGTTCTAGAGCAGTGGTGGCGAACCTATGGCACGGGTGCCAGAGGCGGCACTCAGAGCCCTCTCTGTGGGCACGCGCGCCCTCGCCCCAGTCCTTCAGCTGGGTTTTATAAAAGCTTTTCGCTTTAGGTCTCCACCGCCGTGTGCAAAAAAAAAGGTTCAATCAGTCAATTTCAACTTCTCGCGGGGAAAAAAAAGATCTTGCAAAGTTGGAATTGATTGATTGAACTTTTTAGTCCCACCCAGTCTGCCGTAGCCACACCCAGCCAATGGGCCACACCCACCCGGCACTCGACGATGCATAAGTGGGTTTTGGGTTGCAGTTTGGCCACTCGGTCTCTAAAAAGTTCGCCATCACTGTTCTAGAGCAAATAGGAAACCCCAACCGTCTTCGCATAACCCCTCTCTCAGTGACAGCATCCTTTCCCAGCTCTTACACGACAGGTCTTTTCCTGGCTGTCAATCTTCCTCCCCGCCTAGCACAATTGTGGGAATGGCAGGAGGTGGGAATGCCGAGCCAGGAATCGCTCCGGTGTGTACCAACCTCTGTTTCAGCTGCTATTTCATACTTGGACCTCTTCCCTGGAGTATTTCGTATCAGGTCGAACAGCCCGTCTTCATCGATAATCTTCGTCCCTAAAGCCGATGCCTGTCACAAAAATTCAGATCGAGGCTAAGTCCGATTTATACAGTGACTGCGTGTCAAAACATGTGGAAAAACAAACAGAAGGAGGTTGGCCTATTCTCCAAAGCAATCAAAGGCAGGACAAGAAGCGACGAATGGAAACGAAGCAAGGAGAGGAGGAACCTGGAACTAAGGAGAAACTTCCTGATAGTTAGAACAATTAACCAGTGGAACAACCTGCCTCCAGAACTTGTGAATGCTCCAAAACTGGAATTTTTAAAGAAGAGATTGGACAACCATTGGTCTGAAATGATATAGGGTTTCCTGCCTGAGCAGGAGGTTGGACTAGACCACAGGTCGGCAACCTGCGGCTCTGGAGCCGCATGTGGCTCTTTGAGTCTTCCCCTGCGGCTCCCAGCCTCCTCTGCCATTCGCAGAGAGAGACAGAGACAGAGAGAGGCACTTGAGCTTCCCTTCTCTCTCTCTCTCTCTCTCTCTCTCTCTCTGTGTGTGTGTGTAAATAAAAAAGAGAGTGGACTCACGGTGTTCTCCGAGGAGCTGAAAAGCTTACTGGGCGGGGCTTCTTCTTTGGCTGCATCTCTGCAGGAAGCAGGAAGCAGGAAGGGCAGGAGAGAGCTAGCTAGCCCAGCTATGCTGGTTCAGGAATTCTGGGAGTTGAAGTCTTTGAGTCATAAAAGAGCCGAGGTTGCCTACCCCTGAGCTTCTTGGAGAACAGCTTGAAGCCAGCTTGCCAGGTGAGCAGAAGATCGGAGAGAGGCAGAGAGAGAGAGAGAGAGAAAGAGAGAGAGGGAGGGAGAGAGAGAGAGAGAGAGAGGAAAGAGAGAGGGAGAGGAGAGAAAGAGAGAGGGAGAGAGGAAAGAGAGAGAGAGAGTGGGGGAAGAGGACTGGCAGACCAAGGGCAGAAAGAGGGAGAGGGAGAGAGGGGGGAGAGAGAGACAGAGAGAGACCCTTTTGACATCTAAAATGAATATAACACTGCATATATCCTTTTTTATCTTTATGATATGTGTGTGTGTAAGTAAAAAAGATAGTGGTAAAAAAGGATATATGCAGTGTTATCTTCATTCTAGATATCAAAAGGGTTTTGCGGCTCCCAGTGTTTTGTTTTCGGTGGGAAACGGGTCCAAGTGGCTCTTTGAGTGTTTTGGGTTGCCTACCCCGGACTAGACGATCTCCAAGATCCCTTCCAACTTTGTCCTGTTGCAGAAAGAAGGGACATCTCCTTGTTATACAGCCAAAATGTCTATGCAACCAAACAGTTTCTACTGAACAGTTCTGGCAGAGGGAGACATGGGTCAGAGGGCACTAACTAGGCTCAAGGAAGGATCTAAATTCACAGGGCCCTGATAGCTGGTTAGAGCCCTGGTGGCGCAGTGGTTAGAATGCAGAACTGCAGGCTACTTCTGCTGACTGCCGGCTGCCAAGAGTTTGGCAGTTCGATCCTGACCGGCTCAAGGTTGACTCAGCCTTCCGTCCTTCCGAGGTCGGTAAAATGAGGACCCAGATTGTTGGGGGCAATAGGCTGACCCTGTAAACCGGTTAGAAAGGGCTGTAAAGCAATGTGAAGCGGTATATAAGTCTTATTGCTTGCTATCTTCCTTCCTTCCTTCCCTCCCAGTGGTGAGAATGCGGCATTGCAGGCTAACTCTGCCGACTGCCAGAATTTTGATCCTGACCAGCACAAGGTTGACCCCTCCTTCCAAGGTCAGTAAAATGAGGACCCAGATTGTTGGGGGCAACAGGCTGACTCTGTAAACTGCTTAGAGAGGGTTGTAAAGCAACGTGCTATCTTTCTTCCTTCCTTCCTTCCTTCCTTCCTTCCTTCCTTCCTTCCCTCCCAGTAATTAGAATGAGTATTGCAGGCTGATTTTGCTCACTGTCAGCAGTTCGATTCTCACTAGCTCAAGGCTGACTCAGCCTTCCATCCTTCTGAGGTTGGTAAAATGAGGACCCCCATTATTGGGGGCCAATATGCTGACTCTCTAAACCGCTCAGAGAGGACTAGTTAAGCACCGTGAAGCGTTATATTCGGTGAATCTAAGCGCTATTGCTATTGCTCTCGCAATCACTTACCTTTTCACACTTGGACGCGCCACAGTCTCGGCCTTTAACCAGGTAATTTGTCTTCTTGCTGATGTTTCCAGTGACTTTCCCCCCGTAGCGCTCAATCAGAGACTTGGCCTCATCGCGTTCAATAGATTCCAGGACTCCGGTGATCACAAACGTCATGCCTTCCAGGCAATTTTCACCGCCCTAAAAGTAAAAATAAAAATAAAAATATCAAAGTCAAAAAGAAAAGAAAAGAAAAAGGGATGACCGGAAGTATTTGGTTTATGGCGCTAGCCAGCTGCAGAGCCTAGAGCCAAAGGTAGGCAACCTTGGCGCTTTTATGACTTGTGGACTTCAATACCCAGAATTCCTGAACCGGCCATGCCAACTCAGGAATTCTGGGAGTTGAAGTCCACGAGTCATAAAAGAGCCAAGGTTGACTACCCCTGGCCTACAAAGAGGCTTCTGAGAATAGTTAATTAAAGGACGAGCTGCTGACTCGCCTTAATTGTTTTTAGACTTACTTGGGGTATTTCTTTTGAGCCGAGGGCCTTCGGACCTTCCCGGTTGAGGAAGCTTCTGTAGGCCGTGTAATTTGTCCGCTTCTTTTCCGCCGAGTCCTCAGGACTGATGGACTTCAAAAGAAAAAACAAAATCTACTGCACAGGTGACATTGTCTAATTCTGCTCGGGGGAATCTTGGCAAAGGAGGTGGCATTAATGAAGAAATAAACATGGCCCACGTAGACCTTAAGAGGCTGTAGACTTTTCAACTTCTACATTCATTCAATACTTCCATCCCACCCCCTTGAAGTGTTTACGCCAGGGGTGTCCAATCTGGGCAATTTTAAGACTTGTGGACTTCAATTCCCAGAATTCTCCAGCCATTAGGTCTTAAAAATTGCCAAGGTTGGACACCTCTGGCTTACACAAAAGAGACTCGATGTGCTTTCGCCTGCGGTAGTGACTGAATCACACTGGAGCATTTCCTGTCCTTATATGGACTCTTCTGTCAGTGATTATGCAATTCATCCCCATGGATCTAAGATCCCTTCGGCATCCACTGCGCCCACCTCTCACCTTTTATGGCTCCCCTTTGACATCCGAGTCTTCCTTTGATGCATTTATATCCACTGGCTTTGCCCGCAAAATAATAGCATGGCCACCCACAACATCCTTCTCCTAAATTATCCCACTGGGGTCCTCGTTTAGAGACAGAGTTAAAACGGAACTCGCGTGAGCCAAAGTCACTTGAAGCAGAGATCTCAAAAGCTGAATAAATAAATAAGTGCTTTTGGTGTTGCACGTAGTGCTTCTCTCTTTGTTCAGTAAAGCAATTTTACTATCTTGAAACCTTTGGTCTCTTTTTTTACTATGCATACGGCTCAATCCTGGACATAGCTCCACCAGCTTTTTTAAGGTATCAACTTGTATGTTGATATATGATATGTGTGTGTGTATGTGTTTGTGTATGTGTGCATGTATGTGTTATATACACATATATAGCTCTCATCAGCCAGACATACCCAGGTTCGAATCTCAGAAGGGTATGTCTGGCTGATGAGAGCTAATCAGCTCGAAATAGCTATCCCAGTCCCCCTTAATTCTTTGTTAGCAATCCAAAAATTTAGGAAATATATGTATGTATGTATGTATGTGTGTGTGTATGTATGTGTGTGTGTATGTATGTATGTATGTATGTATGTATGTGTATGTACAGTATGTATGTACTGTATATGTATGTGTGTATGTGTTATATATGTGAGTGTATGTATATATATATATATGTATATTTGTGTATATATATGTATGTGTATATGTCTATGTATTTATATATGTACTAGCTGTACCCAGCCACGCATTGCTGTGGCTCTTGTTCACTCAGCCAACAGATGGCGCTGTTTTTCAAAAAAAGTATGTTTTTACCTGTCACAGGTGTGACATCTATATAAAGTAGGTATATAAAAACACGCGCGTATTTGAATGCAACGTTGTGTCAAAATTTCAAAGCAATCGGTGAAGAACTTTCGGAGATTTAAGATTTTGAACAAACGAACATATATGTGTGTGTGTATATATATATACACACTTACGGTAAAATACGGAGGAGGTATGGAAAAACATCATGCATTGATGTAGGTAATGCATCTAGGATACAACACGAACAGCTGGGTCCGATGACACGTTCCAGAAGCCGGATGCAGGCTGTTAACATCTTATAAAAGCTCTTTCCCAGTGACTACTTTTAAAGCCCTGATGATGTTGGGTGGGCCCAACGAAAGCTCGGCTCATTAAATTTTTTACTATTTATTACTTTCCTCTTGGTGATCGATATTTATTGGTTTTATCATGGATTTACCCAAGAGTCGAATTTTTAGCTTTATAACTTGTCAATGTATGTATGTATGTATGTATGTATGTATGTATGTATGTGTATATATATATATATGTGTGTATGTGTATATGTATATGTGTATATATGTACGTGTATATATATATGTGTGTGTATACACACACACACAGATACATACATATACGTATACACACACACACACATATCTCCCTTCTCACACTGATGATGTTACCTAGTTGGGTTATAAAACATCTGCAAAAAAAAAACCCCCACAACAACCTCAGAGAACCCCAAAGACCCCACAGACATTCGTGGTTAACGATCACACCAACCAAAATCTTTCCTCAAGATGCTCCTACCTTGGATTGTTCAGGAGAAACCTTCACCTTTGTAGGTGTCTTGATTTTGGGCGAAATTGTTTTCCCGGCTGGAGTTACCGTTTCTTTCTTGTGGTTCTCTCCTTTGGAGGTCCCATTTTCGGTTTTGATAGCTCCTGCTTTTGGCTTGAGTGGAGTTAACTTGGAGGAAGCCTTCGACGACCCCCCTTTAGTCCCCCAATCCACCTCCTCCTTCGTCGCAGAAGATTCTGGGTGGAGAACACTGTCTGACTGAACCTGATCCTTTGCGGAATGAGGTTGAGAATCTAAAGCGGAAATTGTGGATTTCCCTACAGAGAGAACGACAAGTTTTAAGGATAAGTGAAGGTGACCAAAACCTAACAAAGTCCTTTAAAAAAAATATATAAACAATTACCTTTGTGAGCCTGTTTATTTTTGTCTCTTTCGCCCGATTTTGACGGTTGACATTCCTCTTTTCGAGGCTAAAATAATAAGCAGACATTGTGTCTTGATTTTTGTTTTGCTGTGATTGGGATGAAGTTATTATCGGCAACAATTTCAGAACGTTTCTACAGCTGATCTTTTCCTTCCCTCCAAACCAGGGGTAGGCAACCTTGGCTCTTTTATGACTCGTGGACTTCAACTCCCAGAATTCCTGAGCCAGCATAGGAATTCTGGGAGTTGAAGTCCACAAGTCATAAAAGAGCCAAGGTTGCCTACCCCTGCTCCAAACCATCAAAGCAAAACATTCAACATTCAAATGGACCCATTTCTTTCCCTCCTATTAAGCAGAGGCTGATCCAGAGCAAGTGACGGGATTTAGTCCAGACCCTGGAGATCAGGCAGAGATACCAAGCCTCTTCGCTCGTCAGGCCCGGTGGGGTGAAGCAATTCAGGGGAAGGAGAAAATAGCCCAAAGTTTCAACTCATCCCATGTCACACATCAGTTACAGTAGACAGCGATTAGATTATGTTGTTGTTGTTAGTTGCGAAGTCATGTCCGACCCATCGCGACCCCATGGACAACGTTCCTTCAGGCCTTCCTGTCCTCTACCATCTTCTGAAGTCCATTTAAGCTCACGCCTACTGCTTTAGTGACTCCATCCAGCCACCTCATTCTCTGTCGTCCCCGTCTTCTCTTGCCCTCCGTCTTTCCCAGCATCAGGCTCTTCTCCAGCGAGTCCTTCCTTCTCATTAGGTGGCCAAAGGACTTGAGTTGAAACTTCAGGATCTGGCCTTCTAAAGAGCAGTTGGGGTTGATCTCCTCCAGGACTGACCGGTTGGATCGCCTTGCAGTCCAGGGGACTCACAGGAGTCTTCTCCAGCACCATAGTTCAAAGGCCTCCATTCTTTGGCACTCAGCCTTTCCTATGGTCCAACTTTCACAGCCATACATCGCAAAACTGGGAAAACCACGGCCTTGACTATACGGATTAGATTATAAAACCATGTATTTTATAGAAGCAAATATTTCCCACTTACTTTTTTCTTTCTGGGTGTCTCATCCAGCATAGCCAACGTCTGTGCAAATTCTTCGTCTTCGTGCAATTGTCTTTCCCACTGCAAACAAGGCAAAACCTAGTATGAAACTGACCCTTTTAACACATGGCTGGAGAGTAAAAAGAGGTCATCTCTGTCTGTCCAAGAAGGACTTAGGGGTGACGTGACGGCAGTCTTCCAATATCTAAGGGGCTGCCACAAAAAAAAGAGGGGTTCAACTTGTTCTCTAAAGCCCCTGAGGACAGGACAAGAAGCAACGGGTGGAAACCAATCAAGGAGAGAAGCAACATGGAATTAAGGAGAAATTTCCTGACAGTGAGAACGATTAATCAGTGGAACGACTTGCCTCCAGAAGTTGTGGGTGCTCCAACACAGGAGGCCTTTAAGAAGAGATTGGACAGCCATTTGTCTGAAATAATCAAGGAGAGAAGCAACCTAGAACTAAGGAGAATTTTCCTGACAATGAAAACAATTAATCAGTGGAACAACTCCAGAGGTTGTGAATGCTCCAACACTGGAAGTTTTTAAAAGGAGACTGGACAGCCATTTGTCTGAAATGGTGTAGGATTTCCTGCCTGAGCAGGGGGTTGGACTAGATGACCTCCAAGGTACCTTCCAACTATTCTATTCTATTCCATTCCATTCCATTCCATTCCTATTATTCCTCCCTCTATTCCATTCCATTCTATTCTATTCCTATTATTCTTTCCACTATTCTATTCTATTCTATTCTATTCTATTCTATTCTATTCTATCCTATCCTATCCTATCCTATCCTATTCTAATTCTATTCTAATTCTATTCTAATTCTATTCTATTCTAATTCTAATTCTTTACTCTACTCTGTATTCTTCCTGCCTGAGCAGGGGGTTGGACTAGATGACCTCCAAGATGCCTTCCAACTATTCTATTCCATTCCATTCCTATTATTCCTTCCTCTATTCTATTCTATTCTATTCTATTCTATTCTATTCTATTCTATTCTATTCTATTCTAATTCTAATTCTAATTCTAATTCTAATTCTAATTCTAATTCTTACTCTACTCTATTCTGTATTCTTCCTGCCTGAGCAGGGGGTTGGACTGGAAGACCTCCAAGGTCCCTCCCAACTCTGTTATGCTGTTTTTCTGTACTTTGTCAATGTGATTTGCTTGGTGACCAAGAGGTATTAAAGTACATAATGTCACTGGAAAGGTGGAAAAATTTTCAGGGTGGTTTTTTTTTTCTTTTTTGCATTCTGAGAGATGGTATCAATTTTGCCCCTTAAAACCAGGAAAAATCAATCCAATTTTTGGGAGAAGGAAGGAAGGAACACAGCTGTCCTTACAATGTGCATTTCAGCTTTTCGAATCGTCCTGAAGCATAAGACATTTGTGTAAAAAAATATATATATAACTTATGATCCCTTTGGAAAAATGCCGCAGGCTGCGAAGGGTTACAACATACCCTTTTACTGGGATGTGGGACTGAAGGCCACACATCCTTCACAGAAGTGAATAAACTAACACAATTCCGAAATTCAATTATTTCCTGGCGCAAATATAAAACCAGATCTGATTTTCAATGATTCAGTTGAACAGAGTGAGAGAAAAAAAAATGACTCAATTTTTTCCCTTCATTTCGCTTCAGCACAATACAGCATCCTGTTATTATCTTTATTTATTGCTTTTTTTGGGGGGGGGGGGGTGGAAGAAAACTAACCTGTTTCCCCCCCAAGTGACACTGGGAACATTACCCAAATCTAATTTTTGGCCAAGTGTAACATCAAAACCTGCCTCCCCACACAATTCGGATACGTAACATTATTAGCAAAAATCCCACAGGCTCTACGTTTATACGATCGTAAGCAGGAGGTGATTCAGCTAAAGAGATAGCGTTCATATTTCTTATTTTAGTATGAAATTGAAGCCAGAACCAAGAGTAATTGTGGAAATCAAAGAAATGAAATGGACATGTATACCTCTCTCTTTCTCTCTCTCTCTCACACATACCCAGACCTTTAATCTTTCCAAATTAACAGCTTGACAACTCTGACAGTATCTTAATTCTGAAAAGCACACAGAATTATTTATTTTCCTTGTGTACTGTGACTTTTATTTTACGGCATGCCTATGAAAAATTGAAGCTGTACTGCAACCATCTTCTTCCCCCCAGTACAGAACTGGATTGAAAAGAATACCAATGTGAAAATAAAATTATACATTACGATAATGTAAAACTGGGAAACGCTATTTACAAAAGCAAAGCCATTTAATCCTTGGGAGGTCACCACTAACCCAAAACTGGCTCATATAACCCTAACCCCCCAAGCAGACGTTTCATATTTTACACACTCTTTAATTTTAATCCATTTGCAGCTAATTTCTTTATATCAAAGCCTTTGTCTAGGAAAATCTTGGCTGCCCAAGGTCTGAAAATTCTGGATATCAAAGGTTTAAATTGGAATATTGATAAGAAGCTAAAACTTATGTAAAAATTAATAACAGGATATGGGTTGTTGATGAAGACTGAATGTAATTAAGATATGTATAAGCTAAAAAATTATTGATAAATGTAATTATGATGTCTTTGTCGAGTTAATATAATTAGAAATGTACTAGTTTGAATCCGAGATAGTAAATGTTAAGGGAAAAAAGAGAAGAAATATCTGATGTTGTAACCTGAGATTTGCACTAAAGATTTTGCTATTGAACTATTGATTAACCCAGTCACCACGTTGCTTTTTAAATACACAAATGTAAAATTGGAAAATTAATAAAATATTTTTTTTTAAAAAAAGCCTTCGTCTGATGGTTAATGAACGCAAATAAAAGTTATTTGCTTTATCAAAGCCCAAGATTGCTCCGAAGGAGTTGAATTCGTAAGAGAGATTCAGCCCTCTTGATGTCACATTGATGCCAATTTTGGACACCCTCTCAGATATAATAATTATGGAAATGTCTTATGTTACCTTAGACTTCTCTTCCAACTGTAGTTCTTTAGCGATAGCCTCATCGTTGATGGTGGAATCCTTGCTTGGCCACGGCTGCATCACACCGAAAGGAGAACCACAATGAGATTAGTCCCACGTTCATATTTACGTGCTTCCTGTAACTCAGTTAAGGTGATAACAGTTTAAGGCTGGCTTGCTCTTTTGTTTTCTCTGCTGGACACATGCTCAAAAGCACTGTTCTCGTGTCCCTTGGCTTGTTTATTCATTCATTCAATTTATAGGCCGCTCGTAACTCTGCCAAGCCAACTCTGGGTGGCTGCCAGTACCATAATAAAACAATTACAGGATCAAAACATGAAAACATCAGGCGTTAAAAGGCGCAAAGTCCATATGATGAGAACCAAGGTCTAACTGAACCGGATCACAGAACGTTGTCGCCTCTACAGACAACCCTCGACTTTCAACGCTTCGTTTAGTGACCGTTCAACGTTATAACGGCACTGAAAAAGAGTGACTGGTGACCGTTTTTCTACATCTACGACCGCTGCAGCGTCCTCGATGGTCACGTGATCCAAATTCAGAGGCTTGGCAACTGGCATGTATCAAGACTGTTTGCAGCGTCCCTGGGAGTCACGTGATCCCTTTTTGCGACTTTCTGACCAGCCAAGTCCACGAGGAAGCCGGATTCGCTTAACGACCGGGTTGCTAACCTAACAGATGCCAACGATTCACTTAACAACTGGGGTAAGAAAAGTCGCTAAAATGGGGCAAAACTCACCTGGCCAATGTTTCACTTAGCGACCTAAATTCTGGGCTCAAAATTGGGGCTCGAGAACTACCTGTGGCCTGTTTACAATCATGGGTGAATTTAGGAGAATTCCTGGCTCGTAAATGATCTGCAGCAAGGAGGGGGGGGCAAGCGATAGGCTGGCGTTACTCACTTCTTTTCGCTTGCTTGACACCAGCTTCTTCTCCGACCGTTGAACGCTGGCAGTCCCAAAGTAATCAATGACAGATGTCGGCGTCAGTTTCACCGGAGATAAGGGTCTGCTTTTGACTTTTGGTTTGGAAGCCGGCTGGGATATTCCCGTCGTTCCTGGATTAATCTTCACCGACGTCTCAAACTGTTTAACTTTGGGGGGGTCTTTCTTCTTCACAAAGTCCTCGTCTTCATCTGAGTGACAAAAACAAAATTGGCGGGTGGGAGGGGGAAGAAACGTTTAATGATTTCCCAGGAACAAGATGCCCGACGAGGTCAGCGGGAAGCTGATTCTAAACTCGTGACGTTGTCCCAAAAAAAAATATAATAATCACAAAGACACGGAGAGCAACTGATCAGATCACATAGAGTTCCTAAAGAAGATCTCTCAATCTGGTTCAGACTTTCCTGAATATATTCAGGAATATTGGGTATGTCTAGTTTAATGAAGAGAAGAACGAGGGGTGACGTGATAGCAATGTTCCAATATCTCAGGGGTTGCCCACAAAGAAGAGGGAGTCAAGCTATTCTCCAAAGCGCCTGAAGGCAGGACGAGAAGCGACGGATGGAAACTGATCAAGGAGAGAAGCAACCTAGAACTAAGGAGAAACTTCCTGACGGTTAGAACAATTAACCAGTGGAACAACCTGCCTCCAGAAGCGGTGAATGCTCCAACACTGGAAGTTTTTAAGAAGAGACTGGACAGCCATTTGTCTGAAATGGTATAGGGTTTCCTGCCTGAGCAGGGGGTTGGACTAGATGACCTCCAAGGTC